TGGTAAAATTTGTAGTTTTCGAATTGAAGTTGCCTATATCTATGGCTTACTGATGTAATGGGAAAACGCCTATTAAGTCGATATAGTATGGAAAATGTATAATCCATATTTGATAACTTCTAGTTATGGGAATGAAGTTTTAGTTCATCAGCATATGGCGTATGGCATATGGCGTATGGCGTACTGATGTAATTGTGTGAGATCTCACACCAGTTGGGGAGGGAAACAAAACATTTCTTATAAGGGTGTGGAAACCTCTCCCTAGTAGATGCATTTTAAAACCATGAGGCTGACGGCGATTCGTAATGGGTCAAAGCTAACATTATCTGCTAGCGGCGGGTTTAGGTTGTTACAAATGGTATCAGAGCCAGACAACAAGCGGTGTATCAGCGATGCACTAGGCCCCCAAGGAGGGGTTGTGAAATCCCACGTCGATTGGAGATGGGAACAAACCATTCCTTATAAGGGTGTGGAAACCTCTCCCTAGTAGATGCATCTTAAAACCGTGAGGCTGATAGCAATATGTAACAATTCAAAGCGGACAATATCTGCTAGCGGTGGGCTTGAGCTGTTATAAATTGTAAGGGTGCTTATCCCCAAAAAAAAATTTTATATGCCTGGCGTGACTCTAAATCATAGGCTCCCAAGATCAAACGAATTCCTTAGGAAAGGGATCTAAACGAGCCCTCTCTCGTTGCTGTTCCCGGATCACCCATTTTAGTTTCAAGTGATTCTAAGAATTCTTAGACTCTTTAGAACTCGAGTACCAAATAATATATGTGCATTATTACTTGTTGTTTATTACATGGAACATTAGTTTCAGTATATATGCGAATAATCTTTTTTGGGAATTGAATGCAGTTCTTTTACTCCTCTATTTATTCCATAAAATTGGCATATTTGGATGCATCGGTCGGGGTTTCTGCAGAATGATATGGACATGTTTAGCTTCCTATTGCCATGCATGGGAGTACTGCTGCACTTTCATGTGTGTCAAGCTTGCCAGTGTCAAAAGAACAAGACGATGCCATAGAAGAAGAGACCTAGAAGAAGAACTCGAAAGTGAAGAAGAAGCAAAACATCGATATGGGTCATCATGTGATTCGAGCAACGACTCCGAAAAGATCGAGTCGAGAAGGAGCGAACGGGTGTCTCGCAAACGGAGGAGGAGCCACAGAGGTTCTCAAACGAGTAAGACATTGAGGCCAACGAGCCATGGAATTCGAGTGAGGAGCGGTAGAGTGTTGGTCTATAGTAAGCATGGATCATCCAAGTTCGTGCAGAAAAAAAGGAAGTATAGAAGAGGAAGACAAAGACAAAGACGAGAGTATGAGATTTGAACTTCTAACTTTTTACCGTACATAAAAATTTAAATTAGTCATATTAAATAATAATGTTATTTCCTATCTATTATAATTATATTAATAAATCTTTGTCCTTGTCTGGAACTTAATTAGGTACATCCCATATAGACTTAGAACAGAAAAAGCTCTTATGACTTTTTTTTTTTTTTTTTTTTATAATAATAATAATTAGCAAGTGGCTTGTGACTAGACAATATTAGAAAATTCATCTAATTGGTTATAAAATAATCAAAATTTTTAAAAAGTATATATTTTAATTGTCGTAATACTTCCCTTAAAAAATTAGAACCAGTTTTAAACCTTTACATTAATATCAAATAAATAAATAAATAAATATATTCTTAATCGTTTAAGTTTGGATGTAAACAATGAACAATTTATTTTAACTTTTTTTAAAAAAATATCATTATTATTGATTTTGAAAGCTTATGAATATTTAAGAATATTTTTAAATTTTTTAAAATTAAAATATATTCTTAAAGGTTTTTTAAAAATTTAAGAATAAAGTTTAGAAAATCCAAAAATATTTTAAAAACGCTTTTTGTTTACATATTAACCATTTTCCTAAAATGATTAACTAAATTTACGGTTAAATTACAAATTTAGTTTTTTATTTTTTAATTTATAGTTTCAATTTAGCATTATAAATTATGATTTATGAAATTTAATCAAATATGATATGAAACCAAGTTGTGTCAAACTAACTAAAGTTATAATACTTTTAATTAAAATTATAAGAACTAAATTGAAACTTTAACATCAAATTACACGGACCAAACTAAAACTCATAACATTCTATGTACCAAATTAAAATTAGTTATATAGTTATATATATATATATATATATATATATTTATTGCACTTTTTGATTAAATAATTGGATGAATTTACAAACAGTTTTAAATTGACTTTTAATTCAACTCAAAAAAACATAAAATTTAAAAATAACAATTTTCTCCAAAAATAAAATAATAAAAAACCTCAGAAAATCGTTACTTCCTTGTTAAGAAATGAGGGTTCAAAAGAGAGAGGAAATTTCCAGGTAATTTTCTTTACAAATAAAAAAACAAATATATTCTGACTATTTTATTATAAATTATAATATTCCATCCTGGTTCAATGAACTTCCACAATTATTTATTATTTTTTACCCTACTTGACTGTTTTAATATATTTATATATATTAAAATATTATTAAATGGCGGTTTCGAGTTTTTGAATCGCATTAAATAGTAAGTATTTTTTATTACCTAAATATTTTTTTTTTTTAATTTTATTGCCCACTTGATTATTAAAATAATTATATTTCATTTTCGCCACGTCTTTTTTATTTTATTTTAATACCTAGCGGTTTCGAGTTTTTGCGCTTCATTATTTTTTTATTAATTTCTTTGTCTAGTTGATTTTAAAATATTTATTCTTTTAATTATTTTATACGTGACGGTTTCGAATCTTTGTAGTGCTTGAAAAAATAAGATTTTTTTTATTCAACGGCCCATCTGAGAACCTGAAATTTTATATTAATTATTGATTACGTTATCTTTTTTTTAATTTAATAATGTGTACGGTAAGGGGATCTACAAATCTTTTACTATATTATAATTAATCTTTTTAAAAATAATAGATATCACGTTCAAATGAGACTGATATCGAAGATGTTGGGTTTAGAGTAATTTTATATTGGGCGTCGTTTTAGAATTTTGAATCGTGAAATAGTTTTACTATTAGAGGTGTTGAAATGACGTGAAAATCTGATTAACTCGAAAATAGGATTTTAATTCATCTGTGTTTTGCTATGCTTTTAAGATTACTGTGAAAAATTAAGAATATTTGACGTTTGTAACTGATGAACGTGGACTACCCGATCCAAACCATAAAAGTTATGGTCGGTTTGCGAGTTGACTTTTTTTTTTTTTTTTTTTTAGGTCAACTTTACTAACTCGAAAATAGGGTTATAATTCATCCATGTTTTACTCTGCTTTTAAGATTACTATGAAAATTAAGAATATTTGAGGTTGGTAATTGATGAACATGGATTACCTTATCCAAACAATAAAAGTTCGGGTCGGTTTGTGAGTTGACCTTTTTTTTTGTTGGGTCAACTTTACTAACTCGAAAATAGGGTTATAATTCATCCATGTTTTACTCTGCTTTTAAGATTACTATGAAAATTAAGAATATTTGAGGTTGGTAATGGATGAACATGGACTACCTTATCCAAACAATAAAAGTTCGGGTCGGTTTGCGAGTTGACTTTTTTTTTTTTTTTTTGGGTCAACTTTACTAACTCGAAAATAGGGTTATAATTCACCCCTGGTTGTTACTGTGAAAATTATGAATATTTGACGTTTGTAACTAATGTTACAGATGTATTGTAACTTGGGAATACTTTATATATCAGTTTTATGAGATTTTAATTATCAATATAACATGTATTGTTGATGAGTTCCATGGTTGGTTAGGTTTGACTTGAATCATAGAAGTTGGGTTGAGAAGATCTTTGAGTCCAACAAAAAAAGGTAGGGCTGGCTAGGTTGGTGACCTGAACCGTCGAAAAATAGTTTACAACCTAACCCAACCCAACGAACCACAGAAGTTGGGTTGAGAAAATCTGTGAGTCCAACAAAAAAAAAAAAAAAGTAGGGTTAGCTAGGTCGGTGCCTTGAACGGCCAAAATATAGTTCACAACTTAACCCAACACAATCTAACCTAAAATAGAGAGTTGAGTTGGGTTAGGTTGTGAACTATATTTCGACAGTTTAAATCACCAACCTAGCCAACCTTTTTTTATTTGTTGGAGTCGAAGATTTTCTCAACCCAATTCAACTCAGGCTCTTGTTCGTGTTAGAAATAATTTAAAATAAGTAGATAACCAGAAAAGCATCTGTAATTGTAATATTTTATATTTAATAAATGTAGAATACTCCATTGGGTAAAATGGAAAATAGATATGAAAAAATAGAGAAATTATTGGAATTAGGTTATAGATTCTATTCTTTTTTAGGATAATGTTGCTTTCACCTTATTTGATATTCCGCTATATTAATAATATTAATGTTAACTCGTCTTCCGTTGACCTATGAAATTGAACACAATTTCATTGACAATACATCGACCTGAGTGTCGGGTCGATAATTTTATTTAAAAATTTTAATTTTATAGTCTACTTTTTTTGAGAAAATAGGCACGTGAAAAATAATTTATATTCGACGTGGCTTCGTTCCAGTGTCACACTAATACCATTATCAACATTTTTCTAAAAAATATCCAATAATGTAGCAGCGTGGAAATATATGTATCATCAATCGTATCCAATAGAAATGGAACACGTGGAAATCATGGATGACGTGTCACACGAATCCACCGTTAAAACAATCGGCCGACTTTGCCCGTGATCTTCTCATAATCGTACCGAATTCAAAAAAGCGGTCCCAAAAAAGACCCGACCCGGCTGACTCAACAAGCGCTACAGTCCAAAAGCATTTCGTAAGTAATGACCAAATAACTTCTATCGCCAGCACTGCCACAGATGGGACCACGGAAAATATGACCGTCCACGTGTCTTTCAAAAACTTCGTTATGATGAATCCACGTGTCCCTTCTTCTTCCTCTATAAAGCCCGCCTCTTTCTCAGGCGTTTTAAGTTTCAATCGCCGCAGACGCCAGAGCTTTCAGAGAGAGAGAGAGAGAGAGAGAGAGAGAATTATGGCCGCCGATTTACAGTTGCCGGCGGGATTTAGGTTTCATCCGACCGATGATGAACTCGTGATGCATTACTTGTGCCGTAAATGTGCATCGCATCCGATTTCGGCGCCGATTATTGCTGAAATCGATCTGTATAAATACAACCCTTGGGAACTTCCTGGTAATTTTCTTTTATGAACTCCGATGGAGATTAATCGTATTGATTCCGATCGGAGTTTGACGGCAGCCGATGATTAATTTTGTGTTTCTTTATAGGTCTGGCTTTTTATGGAGAGAAGGAGTGGTACTTCTTTACGCCGAGGGATCGGAAGTATCCGAACGGTTCGAGGCCGAACAGGGCTGCTGGTAGTGGTTATTGGAAGGCGACCGGCGCTGATAAACCGATCGGGCAGCCGAAGGCCGTCGGGATTAAGAAGGCGTTGGTGTTTTACGCCGGGAAAGCTCCTAAGGGCGAGAAAACGAATTGGATCATGCACGAGTACCGGCTCGCTAATTCGGACCCGTCGGCTCGCAAGAAGAACAGTCTTAGGGTATATTCTCACGGAATAGTTCATATTGTTCTTGATTTTCGGGTCTCTGTTTCTCAAGATTATCCCTAATTTTGCAGTTAGACGCTCTATTTTATAAGATTAGCCCTAATTTTGCAGTTAGACGATTGGGTACTCTGCCGCATATACAACAAAAAAGGAGTAATCGAAAAGCAACCTCCGCACCACGGTTCAATCAACTCGCCGGAATTGAACACAATCGGAGTCATGGAAAACGATGATCAGGAAGAGAAGCCGGATGTGCTCAACGTTTCCGGCCGAGTTCAGTCGCCGTCGTCCGACGTGATGACCGATTACATAAACTTCGAATTATCGGATTCGATTCCTCGTCTTTACACGGATTCGAGCAGCTCCGAGCAGGTGATGTCGTCGGAGTTCACGAGCGAGGTCCAGAGCCAGCCGAGATTGAAGGAAGAGCACTCTGGATTCACGTTCAATTACCTGGACACTTCACTGGAGGACGCGTTTTGTTCGCAGTTTCCGACATTAAATCAGATGTCGCCATTGCAGGATATGTTCATGTACCTTCAGAAGCCATTTTGAATTCGACGTGTCGTCTGGTTGATCTAAACGTCAGTTTCGGAAATTCGACGGCACACTCGTCGGTCACTGTGCCGGTCGAGGATTTCCCCGTCGACAGCCGCCGTGTCGATGAGATCGAAAACCGCGATGGTGGCGGCGGCTGTGGCGGAGATCGGAACCGACATGTATTTGTAGCGATGAGCGATTTTAGCACGTGTTATGTGGGTGTATATATTTTGTTAAACGTGCGAATAATGGGAAAACGTTTTTAATATTGTTTGAATATTTTTGGAATTTAAATTTGATTAAAAGTTCAGAAATAAAAGTAGTACGAAATAATAAAAGTATCATAATTAATTATTTTATATTACTAAATTTGTAATTTTATTAAATATTTTAAGGCCTTGGATAGAAAATATTAATTTCTGGGTATTATCTTATTTCAAATTTGGAAACCTAATATTTATTTAATAGAACCGATAATGGGCTTTTTGAGTTCGATAACGGCCCATTTCACGCATTCGTGAATAGGCCCAAACGGCCCAATACGTTTATGAGTGCACACGAGAAATTCAAATATAATCAACTATAGGAGATTCTTAGTATACTTCAGCTCAAGAATATCCTCAGCATATTACCACGAGCATGTTTTCTATGAACATTGGCAACAGTTAGATGTGGTCGGTTGAATGGTGACCGATGCGGTTATAATGCATTGCTCTCACATATAATCTAAATTGAGACCAAGCTTGTGAGATCCTACGTTGGTTGGAGATGGGAGCGAAACATTCTTTATAAGAGTGACAATCTATTCCTAATAGACGTGTTTTAAAACCGTGAGAATGACGGCGATACGTAACAGACATGCAGAAAATATCTACTAGTGGTGGGCTTGTGCTGTTCAAATGGTATCAAAATGCAGACAATATCTACTAGTGGTGAGCTTGTGCGGTTACAAATGGTATCAAAATGTAGAAAATATCTACTAGTGGTGGGCTTGTGCTGTTACAAATGGTATCAAACCGAGACACTTGGTAGAGTGCCAGCGAGAACGCTGGCCCCTCTCATAAGGGTAGATTGTGAGATCCCACATCAGTTAAAGGGGGAACGAAGCGTTTCTTATACAGGTGTGAAAATCTCTCCCTAGTAAACATGTTTTAAAACGATATCTAACGCAGTGGGCTTGGACTATTACAAAGTTATATATATCTGCTCGTGTAATAAATGCCGTCATGTCTGATATACCTGCTCGTGATTGAGAGATGCACGGTTTAGGAAAATTCCGATGGGTAGGATAAAGAGGAAATGTCACGGTCGAAAATGAAACGATGCCGTTTTGGCTCACTTTCTTGACCCCACTCCTTTCAATTGGATTGGGGGGACACTCGACAGGACATCCCTTTCTGATAATGAATGTCCCTTCTTCCCTTTCCTTCTTTGGTTTCTTCTCATTATTTTTCTCCATTTTGCTTCACTCCCTTTTGTTTTTTACCCTTTGTTTTAATTATCTAAAAACAAAGGGGAAAGAAAAACTCTCTCTTTTGTCGAACTATTTTGCTCGAGTTTTAATTCTGAGCTCTTATAATCGATACTGACTTGACTTGTGTGTTTAAATATAGATCTGTTTAGAAGGCACGTTCGAGTTTTCTTTTTTAGTCTTGTGAAAATTTCGATACATAACAAAACTAATGTTAGTTTCAAAGTCTGCATGTTCTAAATGTGACAATTAATAAATTATGCGAGATTTAGATAACACTCATTGCTTGATATTAGAAATGTCCATTTACCCCACAGGATCGGAGCTTCATGTGCAACTTCCTCAATGGATGAGGAATCTTCGTTTAAACGTAAAATGGGGAGAGAGTGATGAGAGATTTCTTCTGTCAGATAAATGGGGCAGGAGATGGGGATTGTATCCCCAGTCCCCATCCTATATATATATATTGTAATATTAAATTTCCATTTTTTAATAAATTATATTATATTATATTACCTGTTCCTACTTTGCCACGTGAACCTAGTGTGATGCCCCAAATTCGTTGGGGGAGGAAAACAAACCACCATTTATAAGGGTGTGAAAACCTTCCCCTAGCAGATGCGTTTTAAAGCTTTGAGGGGAAGCGCGAAAGGGAAAGTCCAAAAAAGACAATATCTGCTAGCACAGTGGATCTGGGTCGTTATATTGATCTGTTTACTCTCTACGGGAACCCTCCATAGGAATATGGTCACAATAACAAATCTATCGTCGATCAATTCAGACATTGTTCCAAGTAAAGCACAACCTCTCGAGAGGAGAACGGTAAGTAGAAAAGTAAAATATTAATTTTTCCCAAAAGGGTATTCTTTTTCATCATTATTAATTCTTTTGTATGGTCAATTCCATGGGGTCAAAAGTAATTTAATGGGGAATAAATTTATGGAGATGGATGGTTGTCCAACATTGACACGTGTGCAAGATTCTCAAAGATAAGAAAAAAAACATCCCTTGCTGATCTGTCATGTTTTTTTTTTTTTACTTAATTCTTTTTTAAATCCTTAGTAATTTTATCAAACAAAATTTTAATATCAATATTTAAATATTAGATGGTTTTGGTCTGATTATTATCTAATTAAAATTAAAAAAAAAATACATTAATACCTAAGTTATACAATATTTAAGAGATTTTTTTCATATATATAAATATATTTATTTATTTGTTATCCAATATATTTAAAATTGAGATATTTAATATTCACATTACACTTTTGTTTGCAATTATTATATATTAATTATGTTGTCTAACTCTAATCTTTCATGAAATCGTCATATAATTAATTACCGGATAATATTTATATTATTTATCATGATAAAATAAAAAATATTTGAATCTTAACGATCTTGAAAATAAGATGACTAAAAAATTAATACTATAAAATATTTTAAAATTATTTAGGACGATAAAATATTTGATTTACAGTATCTTGAGTTCACACTAACTCTAAGCCACATCCTCGTTCTTATCAATGATTCCCCATTTTTTCATCTCTTAATTATTTATTTTATGGCCACAAATTTTGTTTTTTTAGGATATTTTTATTATTTTTAATTTTTATTCAATTAAATATTAAAAGCTTATTTTATGTGGATGGGGTTCTGTTTTAATTTATTATCTTATAAAAATATTATAAAATTCTCTCAATTATATATATATATTTCATTGTATATTTGAATTATTAGATTTAATTTAAAATATTTACCGACTAATGTATTTAATAAATATTTTGTGAAAAGTCAAAATATATAATTATTTAATTTTTTTATTACAATTTTTCTAAATTAAACTTATAAAACTTATTTATAATCATACATTCTTGTATTATTTAATTTTTTTTTAAATAAAGCATATGCGGTAGTAATAAATATTATAAAGCACCGTGAAGAATTTCAACATGAATGGCTAATCATCCCGAGCATATAATTAACCTCTATTACATTTTTACTTATCACAAGTCTACTAATAAATTTTTCATCCCGTTTTTACGGACAAAAATAAGTCATAGTAATAAGTGACGAACTATAAGAATATGAAAATTTTGAAATTTACGTATTTTCATCTCGACGTAACTCTTGATATTTTTACTCAGACGATGAGATATTTTTATGAGAAATATTTAGGATCAAAATAATAATAAATTAAATGGCATTGTTTTTATTTTTATTATTTTTATTATTTTATTTTTTTATTGCTCAAATATAAATAATTGATATAATTTATTGGTCAAATGGGCATTTAATATTCTATATTTTAATTATTGTTTTTTTTTAAATTTTATTTTTCTTATTAAAAAATTTAATATTTTTTCCTCTTCATTAATTACTAAATAATTCATGCTTTGGAAAGTTTCATAATTTATATTCATAAAAATTCTAAATTAATAAATATTTGTCCAATTTTATAATTATATCAATTAAACTCTTAAATAATTGACTATTTTTAAATAAATGTACTAATTTTTAAAGAAATATATACTGTGAAAATTGGGTTTTTAAATTTTATTTATAAAAACTATAATTTAATGTATTTTTAGAAGTTTAGATTTTAAATTTATAAAATTTAATTCATATTTTTTTGAGTTTATATTTTTATTGCGATAATTTTGGAATTTAAATTTAGATTAATGTTTTTATTAGTTTAAAATTTTAAATTAAAAATATTTAATTTTCTTTAAGTATATATAAAATTACTTTATTCCATTATATTTTTTTTTCGTATTTAAAAATTTAAGGATAGATTCGAAAGGTTAAAATATTATATTATTAAATAATTAGATTAATATTTGATTACTCCTAAAAAATTTCAATAATATTCTCAAATTTTTTAAATTAAAAGTAAAAAATTAAAGATAAAAAATTAATCCTATTATTTTTAAAGATTTTAAAAAACATATTTGAACTTTAAAATGTTTTATTAACCTCTAGCTGTTAATATATGTTATCACATCTTAAAATACCTATGAATTTAAAAAAAAATAACATCAATACCTTTAAATTTTTAACCTTTTTAATTTTTGTTCGACCACCTTCTCTTTTAGGTGGAAGAAAAGATGAGACATAAACAGACGATTTTCGTCATAGATGATAACAACCTTTTTTTTCAAATTTTTTTTAATTGTATATATATTTTAAATGTGTTACAATAATAAAAGTATTTTTTTTTTTTTTTACTTTTTAAAAAGTATGAAGGATATTAACTAATTTTTCAAACACCATTAAAAATTTAAGTATATTTTAAAAACAAAATGCTAACTATTTTTTACATTTCAATTTTTTTTTTAAAGTTAAAATTATTATTGAAATTTTTAAAAAAAAATTTAAGGTTATTTTTTATTAATTTAAATTACAAAATTTTAGGATTAAAAAAAAATTGTAACAAAAAATTAAAAGTGGAAAGAAAAAAAAAAAAAAAAATTGTGCGCCCTCTTCCAACTGATTCCCAATCACCCGCGCTTTTATGACAATTTTTTTTGTTTCCTTTATTTATTATTATTATTATTTTCACTAATTAAAAAATACAAAAGAAAAAAAAAAAAAAAAAAAACTGCACACATGGAGGAGTGGAAGCGAAAAGACTAAGACTTAGAGACTGCCTTCATTCTCTCTGACTGCTGTTCTTCTGATTCAGCTTCTTCACAAATAAGCGGATTCCCAGTTCATCACCCCCAAATTCAGGTACATTTTCAATTCCCCTTTCCTTTTCCACTTTGAAAATGGCGATTTTCTTGCCCTAGATTCTGTGACGCTACTT